CTCTCTTTCTCTTTCTCCCTCTCCCTCTCCCTCTCCCTCTCTCTCTCTCTCTCTCTCTCTCTCTCTCTCTCTCTCTCTCTCTCTCTCTCTTTTGAACGGCGTCAAGCAGAGCACTCACACTCTTGCGCTGAGTCTGAGATTCAGCTCCCATGAGCACGGAGTTATTCTGACAACTGTGCCCATCAACGCCATCACCACGTTTTAAACACGACGAAAAGACAATGTCAAATAAAACCTTACTCTTTTTGTTCTCAAAGGAGGGGGAAGAAAAGGGTACATTTTTCTTGTTCTCTTCAAGGCGTTAGGTAGGTAACCCCTATTCTGTTGCATCTAATTCCATCAGGATCGAACTCATGATCTATTTACTAACAGTTATGCATGTGTACCATTCAGTCAAAAGGGCTTAGGGAAAAGAGTAACAAAACTTTCAATCCCCATGCAAATACTACCCCCCCAAAAAAACACATCAATTTCATAATTTTAAATTTTCAGTATCCCTCAATTCCATCCACATACTTTTCCCATACCCTATTCAGAGTCCAGACCGACTGCGTAGGAAGGAGGACCCGTAGAGGCCCATCAACCTTACCATTTTGTTTCTTGTGGATGCAATAGCAACACCTGCAATACCTAGTACCTACCTCCTGAGAGTAAATCGTCCTATTACCAGGCTATTAGGTAGATCAGCCAAAATTCTACAATCATAATTATCCTCTGCTTTGAAAAAGCATAACCACCACAGCACTGTCTATCTATGGGCCTCAAAACGTGTCTCAGAAAGTCCTTAGGTCGGTAGACCTGGGACCTTAGGGCAAATTAAAGTACCCAAGGCCTCTGGGAGCCAATAATAAGCCCTAGGAAAGTCAACAGGCAGGCCCTAAACGGGTTCATTCAGAAGTCAAAGGGTCAAAAATTTCCCCCAGGAGTCAACCACGGCCGCAGATCACACAGGTCCAAAGGCTCAGAATCTGTTTCTGGAAGCTTCCAAGGCCTACTGAGTCAAAGTCTCAAAGCACACTCAGGCCGCAACAAATCTGGACCGTTCATCTGAAGAGATTGCAGCCCATTTGAGGAGGCGCCTTGAGGCAGACCCAGCGGTGTCAACACTACAAACGACGTCAGACCTACTGGGTCACTGCAACTCTGCTTTTCCAGAGCCTCTTTGTTGTTCTTAAGCACACCAGTACAGTGGAAACTAGTTTGTCGAACTTGAAAAAGCTACCAACCCTGGCCTACCCAGCCTGGCACGTCCAGCGACTCCAGCCTAACCGGGCACAGCAACTCTGATCGACATGCACATTCGGTTGGGCACAACTAGCCTTTCTTGGGCGAAAACATTTTCGTTTATTTTTTATATCTTTTCCCCTGACACGGTGGAACCTACCCTACATCTCTGATTCCTTTTTGGAATTTGCATCGACAGAATCAGAACTAAAAATTGCCAAAGATGGGAAACTAAGTATGGCAAAAGAAGAAGAAGAAGAAGAAGAAGAAGAAGAAGAAGAAGAAGAAGAAGAACTTTGTATGGCTACCACATCCAAGCAAAACAGCAGGTGCGTAAATTACCCAATCCTGACATAGGAAGAATTTGTGCACCCGTCCTCTGGGGCATCCATTAAAATTGGGACGATAGAGAGAAGATTAGCATGGCCCCTTCGCAAGGATGACATCATGGCACGCATAAAATCCTATTAAATCGAGAAATGGTCCAAATTATTAGAAAAATAATAAAAAATGGTTAAATTTGTTGTGCACCCTGCGGTAGCCCCCCTGGTTCCGGTAGGTGGAGCCTTTCATTTTGTACTCGGTATATGGCCGCAAGTTCCCGAGGAGGGGGGTTGGTACTAGTGTTTTAAGTTGACCTGAAAGCGGGGAAGGGAGGAAAAAGGTGGAAAATATCAACCGCAAATTCAGCGTGCTTCCTCTCCTCAGGTCTTGCAACACTTTCCCAAGTGTCTCTCCAGTGCTGAGTACCGGGGCGAAGGGCTTAGCCCTACATGCCAATAGTCCATGTTCACGGGGCACAACCAACTGGGTTAATCAATCAGACCAGCCACAAACTACCCTCTTCACCCGTATAGAACACCCAGTCATTATATCTGTATTTGGTGCAACCTTCAGTCTACATCCAGCAACAATGACTGGGCGTTCTATTCAGGTGAAGACGGGTCTGGATAGCAGACCGGGAGCCCTACGCCTGTGTGTAACAAAAGGTGCCAAAAGTTTGTCCCCTTTCCTGATCAAACGCAAAAAAAAGAGAAGACAAGCAAAGACAGCGGAAGGAAAACAGAATCATACCACAAGACAAACAGCTGCCCAGAAGACTTAATATTTGCGAAAATGGCGCCTTTTCATCATGGGTTTCCTTTCTGGAGCTTCCTCATCATCATCGTCCGATTCTGCAACCACAAATTTTCGCTTGCCAGAGCTCTGCTCACTTGCGGCACGATCTTTTCCAGGACGTCCACCACTCCGCTGAACAACTCTGCTGCCACCAACTTCTTCTTCGTCCTCCTCCTCTCCAATCTCCACCCCATCTTCTGCCACTTCTTCCTCCTCGTATTCGCCCTCTCCTTGTTCCTCTGCTTCACTGTCCTCGACTTGTTGGTCGCTCAATTCAGCTTCCTCCTGATCAGAGGTTCTGGTGTTTCCCCGACGATTTGCACCTCGTTTACTGAGTCTCCCGCCCCCTGCATTCTCCTCTTCTTCCTGTTCTTCTTCTCTATCATCCTCTTCTTCATCCAACTCCACTACCTCAGGCTCGACATCGGCCGTGGCATCCTCTGGTCGCACTCTGTCCCCTTCCACAGTATGATTCTGCCGGCGGCCGTTGCCCCGTGAGTTCTGGGGTTGCGTAGAGTAGCCATCGCCGGCGCTTTTCCCTCCATTTTCTCTCCTAGCCCCCTCTTTCTTCTCCACACCTTTCTTCGCTGGTTCCAGTATTTTGAAGTCTCTGGCGGTGCTCCTCTTAGCGTTCTTGAGAAGATTAACGCCCGTTTGATTGCTCAGCTGGATGAGGAAACGTTCAAATTCCTCGATGTGGAATATGAGGTTAGGAATAAGTCTTCCCTCGCGGCGAATCTTGGCGGCAGATCCTTTCCCTTCTTGACTCGTTTGCTCCTCCTTCATGAAAATGTACAACGGTGGAGTGAGATCCCTGCACAGATCATCGACCAGTTTCTGAAACTTGCGGCTAGGAGGAGCTTGGGTCTGTCCTCGCGGAGCAATGCACAGCCGTGTTGCGAGTGAGGCCACTTTGTAGGTGCCCACAGCAACCTGCAGAAGCCGTTCTGCCGTTGCACCTTCAAGTCTCAGATCAGACATCTGTGACAAGATGCATGCAGCCGAGTTCAATCGACCATGTGCAGCAGCTTCTGCTTGCATGCGCCTGTTCACACCATTCGCCGCCTCTCTGCTCAGCGGAGGAGGGTCCCTTTCTTCTCTCTCGCCATCCAAGAGTCCTGTCTTAATCTTCGACATTATCCAATCCACCTCGTCCACCACCCCTCCCAAATAGTGCAGCAGCACGCCCGCCACCGCATTTTTTGTGAGCTTGTTCACGATCGGATACCGAGTGGAAAAGTCCAACGGCTCGTCATCTTCATTCCCAAAGACTGCAGCGAGTTCTTCTGCCATTTCCTGCGCAAGTGCCAAATCCCAAGGTGGTTTCGTCAGAAAGAATGTCAGCCGCATCAGCTGGCGCACAGTCCCGAGATGCGTGACTTGGCGTTCTTTGCAGGTCTGCTTTGCCCACTGAGCATGCTGCTCACGTTGCGATCTCTCAACCCGTGCGGCCATGAGTGCCAAGCAGTTCAGAATCACTTCACACTCCTGGTGGAGACCGTGACCCAGTAGTTGGAGTGTGAGCGATTGCATGTGCAACATACAGTCACGGAGTGGTAAATCCAACCCGCCAGGGGCTCTTCGTGCTTGCTTCTTCCCAGCACCGTTGCCCATCCTGTGCTCACTTTCAGGGCCATCTAGCTCCTCGTCGTTGCCACTGCAGTAATCCATACTCTTCAGCACGCTACGCAAGCGTCCGGTTAGCATTCCCAGCTTCAGTATCTCGTTAACGCATTTGATTGTCACAAGGAGTGGGCTATCCACGACTTCCTTGGGAACAGAAACCCCGTTTGCTTGTCCTCCTGATGTGCCGTTATTGTCTATGCCCTCCTCGGTGTCCTGCTTTCCATTGCTGCCAGCAGCTCCTGCCTTCTTCCCTTGTCCCGCAACAGCACTTTTCTTCCTCCCAGGTCTTCCCTTTTCCCCCCCTCCTTTTGCAAGTAGAGGCGCCTTTGCAATCAGCGTCCTCGTCAACCTCCAAAGAGGGCCCGCGAGGGCTACCCATCCATCTCTCACCACTTCGGTGCTTCCTCCTGCCGTTGCTATTCCTCCTAGTCGAGTACCAGAACCTCCTCCTGTCACAGACATTCCCAGCCCCACACCCCCTCCCCCCCCTTCCTCCTCCTCTCTTTCCACTTGCAGACCTCTCTGTTTGAACATGGACATCTGTTTCTCATGCTGAGCAACGCATTTCAAAAGGCCGAGGGTGCTATTTATTGTAAAGGTCGAGAGAAGCTGCTGCTGGTACTGCTGCAGAGTCTTCGACAGGCCCGCAGTTGACCGCGGAGGGTGTGTTCCTGCAGGGTCATCTTCTTCTGCACCATCCCACCACTTGCTGTCCTCGACCATTTCTAACAGTTTGACCAAGGATGTGCTCCGCACCAATGGCTTCCGCTTTCCAAGAGTGAAATCACGCAGTAGACCACCTCCCCCTCCACCTCCACCTCCTCCACCTCCACTCCCACTTCCAATCGATCGTTCAAGACCCGTCCCACCACTCTCAGCACCCCTCGCGCCTACTTTGCTGCCTCGTCCTCTCCCCGTGCCTTGCCCCCCTCCCCCACCTCTTCCTCCGCTTCCCTTGCAGAATATTTTCGATGACACAAACTGCCGAATGCTTGCATGGAGAGAAAGGTAAGCAGCAATCTCTCGCTCTATCTCTCTCTGTTCCTGGCTTCCTGCTGCGTTCTTCGTAAGGTCTGACACTGCAGCATCGACCAGCACCTCCAGCACCCCCAAGAGTATGCCAGCCCGCTGAAGGGCCTTTTCCTTCTCAAGTCCTTCTGTGAAAGAATCTGGCACAATTCCCATCTCGGCGAGGCCAAGGTCTACAACGCTGTTGCATTTCTGCATGGTCCTCCTTAACTCCCTGAGGTCCGACTCCAGGTGCTCTCCTGCGGTAGTCCCCGTCTCCGACGCATCTATCTGGGACTCTGTGAAACTGAAACTCGGAGCAGTCCAGAGAAACGGGTTGGGCCGGGAGGTGACCGGTGGCTGGAGGGTAAGCAACTGAAGCAAGCAATGCAGCAGCTGATCCAACGGTTCTTCCGTGACAACGCAATTGCTTGATCGGACGACAATGACACATTTGTCCAGATGAAGCGGTGGACGCGCATCTTGTTCAGACCGGTAGTATCGTTGAAAATGAGGCAGCAGCAGTTCAAAGATTGCCTCCGAAGCCGTCGGATCAACGAGAAGTATTTGTGGCAGCCCCGCATACACCTTTTCGCGAACGTATGCTTGCTGCGAAAGGCAGCGACGGAGGAAACCCATGAATTCGTGCATGACGCCCTGCGAGCAGAGAAGCTGGCCTGCAGATCCCAACTGACTGGAGCTCTGGCTCGAACTGACAGCACTGAAATTTCCGCCGCCACCGCCGCCACCGAGCAACCGGGCCTGCTTCTCTGCCACCATGAGATCCAACAAGCTGCACACCGCACTAAGCCTGCACGTCACCTCGCGGCTAAACATTGCCTTGCGCAGAGCGAACACAGCATGGTCCTGAAGGTCAAAGTCAACGCGGAACAAAGGCTGAAGAGCACAGAGAAGTGCGGATGCAGCCAAGGGCGGAAGGAACAGAAAATATTCCAGCGACTCCTTGAGCCGCGGGATCTGCTCCCGCATCAGGTACGGTCTGCTCTCCACGAGCTGCGCCAGCACGCTGATCAGCAACAGACTGTGTTCTGCCCTCACACCGCTGGTCAGAAGGCAAGACCTGCACTGGTCTATGATCTCATCCCTGGCAATCTCATGTGCGCCAAAGGCGGTGACGAGCATCTCTGCTCCTAGAGCAGCCACGTGCAATCCCGGCGGCACGTCCTCCTCGTCAACAAGCCCATTCGCAAATCGGTCGCCCGAGGCAGGAGCAGCAGCAGCCTTCCCTCCTCCTGACCCTATCCCCGAGCCAGCTGCTTCAATCAGCGAGAAACCAAACCGGATCAGACTCTGTACCACGTGGCTTAATCCGGAGGCCACAAGACCGCTCCGAACGATCTCCAGGAACGAGGACCGGACCTTCGCCCCCGCGTCTGCAAACTCCGATATACCAGGAAGCTCTGCCATCCACCACGAACTTCTGCTAATCTGTTCATTCTGGTATGCCTTCAGAATGGTGTTCTTCAAGATGTCCATCGCCAACTGCTCGAAACGCTGGATGCGAGCCAAGGACAGGAGCACGGAGATCATGAATGTGGACAACTGCTGCTGGTTATCGCTTCTCAAGAGAGCCAACCACTCCTGTCCCGATTCCGGGTCTTGTTTCACTGCAAAATTGATCTGCGAAAGCACCGTCCCTTCGAGCAACGAAATGCTCGGGGCCATTGGGGTACTACCGGACGACATAGGTGGCGTCGTCGACAAAGATTTTTTGTTGACGTCCTTGTTGTTATTCTTGGACTTCAAGTTGGCAGTGTTACCGGGCCGAGGGGGGAGCCCGCCATCGCTCTTCTTCCGCATTGGCGGAGGTGGCATCATCCCACCCCCGCCTCCTCCCCGTGAGGCGCTCGGCTCATTATCCTCCATGCCCAATTCCGCGGCTGCGGCTGCTGATGATGGAAATTGGGAGCTGCGTTCTTCTCGTCGGTCCAAAGTACTACCCCTCTGTGCTTTGTTGAAAATCTTGAGAAGCCCCCCCAAGACCAACTTCTTGATTGGATTTGATCTTTTAGACGCTAGCAGAAGCAGCTGCTGCACCAGCCCAGGCAGATCGTCCACCTCCCTCTCCTCCAGTACACACAGAAGTCGATCTATGGCTGCCTCCAGCTGGCGAATACCGAGTCCCATCTGCCGAATGATCGCCGCCACAGGCGTTACCAGCGATCTCTGCCACTTGGATTTCATAATAACTTCCAAAATCATATCTCTGTATCTGCATACCTCCATCTCCTCCCAAGTTTCTCCCTCCTCCCCCTCCTCCTCCTCCTCCTCCACAATTCTTCTCGTGTCATCATCTCCACAGGGCCGTCTATCTCTCCAATCCCTCCTGATCCGTACAATTGAACTATGATTGGCAATCAACCCCAAGCATTGAGGAATGAATTGCAGGTCATCGTGATGTCGACACGTGTCAAAAGCACCCAAAGGGGGTGGGAGGTCCCTCGTCGTGGTGGCGGAACTACTTCGATTAGAATTCTCTCCGAAGCGTCGCAGAACTATCGTGTGAACTATCTCTGGCAAACAATGGATAGAAAGTTTATCTGTTTGCTGAACCAGAAAGGCAATAGACTCGGCGGTCTTCTTGCCAGGCTGGAGTCGCCCAGAATAGAAGAGGGAAAGAACTCTCTTGACCACGAGAGATAACAGCCTGTCTGCCTTCTTTCTCATCACCAGTTGGGAGCTGTTGCCACCGCTACCGCCGCCGCTGCTGCTGCCTTGTTGCAAATAATTAGTACTATCATCAAGTGAAGCCGATGGACTGAGGGCAAGGAAGAGAGACCTCAAGTACTCCAATAACTCGTTGCTGCCAGCTGTCGCTCTCTCGTTGACCCAAGTAAGGATATCATTTGTAGGTTTACTAAAGATAAGGGCCGCCGCAGCCTCCCGACCACTTCCTCCTGCTGGCGAGGAAAGCAACTTGCAGGCTTCAATAATTTCACACGCCATCAGGCCTCAACAAACCTCTCTCTCTCTCTCTCTCTCTCTCTCTCTCTCTCTCTCTCTCTCTCTCTCTCTCTCTCTCTCTCTCTCTCTCTCTCTCTCTCTCTCT